TCCCTACTCTCCATACAGGTCAAAGAAAGTGCAAAAGCAGCTTGAAGCAGCTTGATATAGGTCAGCAGGATGGCAACTGCTGGTCAGAAGCATCTCAAACTGCAGGCTGAATGTACCCGAAATTACGCTGCAACCCCCATTGACACCTTACTATGGATGGAGGTGGTCCTCAGTACCCCGGCTACATCCTTCTTAGTCATGCACACATCTATTGACAGGCCTCCAAGGTAACGGTACCTGTTTTACATCTGCTGGGGCTTGGTTTGTGGACGGTGATCTAATTTTCGATATTAGAACCCACATCTTTAAACTGGGAAGACGAATGCAAGGTCCAAACTAGAATGGATTCTCCAAAATATATTGCTGATGGAAGGGAACGAGCAATTGGCAACACCGTATAACACCATAGCGCAGCTCTGGCTGCCGTCCGGCAGAGATCCCCAAGAGTCGGGTATTCATTTAATGGGTGTACCGTACAATTTACTTAGTCAAATTGGTCATCTTCTTTGGTTTGGGACTGTTAGGTCTTTTCTATTTGCAGTTCCCTTCATGTGTGACAGATAGAGGCGCGGTGACCTCACACTCGGTGACCTTTCTTTTAATTTTCTAGGGTAGAGTAGTAAGTGGCTTAAAAAGACTCTATTGGCAGCCCGATTAGAGTATTTCAACAACAATCTTCCCATCAGATTATATGCATGTGAGGGTGTTTCGGGGGAGCCATTTGAGATGACCCCCTTACCTCTCCGCCCAATGCTGTGGCGGCACTTGGGTATCGGGGAATCATGGGCCTTCACTAAGTGGGAGTTCTTATATTTCGTTTTCTGATGTTCTTAGCAATTCCTTCAACAAAAGGGGGTCTTGTGATCACAAGAGGGGTTCCCCCATGAGGACTTTCCTAGTCCCCATGCTAGATCACACATACCCTTGAAGGAAGCCGGTCAGGGCCAGATTTACTCTTTCTGCTGCCCCAAGGCCAGGTTCCTCAATGTGCCCCTCCTACCCGCCAAC